CTACCAAAACCTTGCCACGCAAACCCACCACATGAGTCTCAGTGTATTGTGAGTTGTTTTACATCCTTCACTGTCAATATGTTAGTGCAACTCCTCATAGTTTGCAAAATCAAACATAAGTGTCGACTTTGGTCACAGTTTAGAAGTTAAAGGTTATTGGTGTAGTTTTGTGCTGTAAATATTGGGTGAAACTCAGTTACTGGCAAATGACATATAACAATTTCATCAGGGTTCTGAAATGGGTGAAAAATTATTTTCACTTCAGTACTCAGTGTCCTGTGTTGTCTCAAGTGTTCGGTGCTTCTTTTACAGACAGGAATCTGCCTGATGCTCAAAGTAACCTCGGATTATGGGGGGATGGCAAAGGTGAAGATGAGCTGTCACCTGAAGAAATACAAATGGTAAGTATATCTTGTGTCTGTGTCCATTTTATTATATTTTTCTGCTGTATTCATATGTGTTAAAAAAGTACAGATTCACCCAAATTCATTTTCATTTTATTCAGGATAATGCCATAACAAGATACAGCTTTTGCATATGGCTTCCTGGTTCTTCTGGTAGCAGCTAATATTTAAAATTGCTACAAAATACTTACATGGAGCTGTGAAATTAGTAACAACTCTGTTTGAGCAATTGAAATTAAAATTGTTTTTAAAATTACAATTATTAATCATTTTTTTAGTCAGGAAAAAATAGAAGTCAAGGCAACATCAGGAAAAGCATTACGAAACTTCTGAAAAAATAAATGTTGGCCATTTTTTACTTGGACTATTTCTAGAACACAGCTTGAATAGTTACAGTATTTAACTATGAAGTTATACTTCATTTTATTCTTTTTTTTATTTATTATCAAAATCAGATTGGTTTACTAGAAGGAATAGCTACAACCTTTCTGTCACAACAGAATCTCATGAATTTTACCTTTTGTGCATTTCCGTGTTATCAGCATGTTTATATATTGTTTGACCCAATTCTGCTTACAGTTGAACTGATATAAAATTTGTGACATAGTTATAATTTCTGACTACCTGTTAGACTTTTTGATATTTCTAAAATTTATTGTTTTGAACATGGCTCATAATTCATAGAAAACCTCTCTACATTAGCACACATTGCCTTGTTTTATATAAAGAAAGAACCTGATTTATAACTAGCCAGTAGACGTGCAGTGTTCAAAATGCTGAGCTTTACTAAGGCAAAGGGCTGCTGCGGTATGAACGTGTGAAGCTTCCTTGGCAGTGATTAGAGATGTTCCCAAACAAAATATGCATCATTGTTCCCATCAGAGATGAGTAAGTTGGATTGCTTTTTGTAGGCCTCACACTGTAATTAAGTTTTAAGCATGTTACATCCCTTGCCATGGTACTTTGAGAACACTCTACATTTCTTTTTCATGAAATCCTTTTATATGAACTAAGAGAAAAATCTGTGTTCATAGTTTAATGCTTTAAAGGGTTTCTAGACTCCTAAATCTCCTAAACTTCTCATTAGGCATTTGGACAGCTCTTCCTGGGGGAGAACCAACAGATGTTTTTAAAAAATCCATTATTATTCTTAACCCATTCAGAGCTCTTCTGTGCAATGCTTTTTTTATTATTATTGTTATTATTGTTGTTATTTTAAAACTTTTACTGGTTGTTTTACACTGATTTACTTCAGTTGTGCTTTCAGGAGTTGCACTTCCTGTGAAAAGGGGTATAAAGGTAACACTGATGCTCCAAATTAAACTTTTAGCTCAGATTATAGTATGTCCTTATTCTTAGCTTACACAGTTCTGCCTATAGTTTGCAAGAAAATGTACAGTATATAACAGTGCCTTGATGTCAGTGCCATGATTAAGCCTAGAAAAATGACTTGTGCTGGAAATGTAGATCTCAGCTTTAAGTTTATTAGTCTGCTCCTTGGGAAAAGAGAGACAAATTTACTAGTCTATTGGAGAAGCAGAAAATCAAAATGCTACTAAAATAAAAATAACATACTTTGAAGTCCTATAGATATAAATACACTGAAATATTATTACCGCTCTTGTGCCATAGTTTATTCTTAAATTTCCATGTGTGAATTTACATTTAAAATTTATTTTTGTTACGTATTCTCAGTACTTGTGTTTTAGTACTAAGATACTAGAAAATGAGAATTGGATAAAGCATACAAAGGGCAGACACCACTAGAACAGCCTCCTCTCTGCTTATAATTTATTCTAAGTTTTGCAGAAAGCTGGTTCTGAGCTGGGTGTCTGAATCTCCTGTTGAATCTTGCTGTGGTTCTGATCTCAGCCAGAGCTGTTCCCTCCTGTTGTACCTTGCCACAGGCTGACAGTACCACCACCGGCAGTCAGGGCTCTCTGTGTCTCAGCTGCTTCTCACGCTGACTATGAGTCTGTGCTTCTCGCACTGTCATGAAGAAATACAGGCTTGCTTTCTACTACTCCTAAAACTTAACCAGCATCAGTTACTTCCGCATTATGCCTTGGAAGGAGTCTGCCTTTATTATGATTTAAAACAAAAGTGAGTCAGCATTCATGCTGATTGTTTCTAGTTATAGTTAATGCCTCCCAATCAGGGTCGTTTCTTGTCAGGTCATTTTTTACCATTGGATTGCATATTATTGGAGTTGTCAAACTAAACAGTTGTGTATTGGTGTAATACGTATATGTACACAGCAGGGTTTCAAATGTAAATGTTGCCACCAATATGCTGATGTCAGAGCTGAGCAAGCCATCGCTCTGTTCTGTGGACCAACCATGATTATTTTATTTTTTAGGGTTTGGGGATTTTTTGTTGTTGGTTTGTTTTGTTTTGTTTTTTGAACACTATAATTAGCTAATTTACAAAGGCCAGGGATGTATGTGGTGACTATTGCACAGTGAAAGTGCATTTTTGAGGAAGGTTACAGCTAAGAGTTGGCCTTCATTAGTAAAAGTTGGATACTGTATAATGTCAATCTTAACAGACTTTAAAGTCACTGGAGCCATTATTCTAATTTTCAGGTAAATTTGGGTCCCAGGTGTAAATATAGGTGTAACTAGGAAATTTGAATGTGCATTGCTTTTTTCATTGCTCACCTAAATCCTTCATACTAACTTGGCAGTATTTAATAACTTCATTGTGCTTTTAATGCAGGAATCAAAGGTCTTTATAAACATGTAACAAACCCTTACAGCTTTAGTCAATGTACTCAAATTCCTCTTCTGCATTACGTTTGCTATTACAGACAAGTTAACTTCTACTTTTTGAATGTTTGATTTGTGAAGCAGGGACCAACTGCATTTAAGTTACTCAGAAAACCCAGCAGCTCTCAGAAGAGGGTGGGTTACAGTGTAGAAACTGCTGTGTTGGTTTTAAATTGGAATGTGTTGTGTCAAATCATACTTAACAGTTCTCAATCGTGATTCTGTGATCCTTCCTGTGGGTAAAATAATGAATTAAAGCCCTAGCATAGTGCTACAGCAGCAATTTCTATCAGTACTTTACCCAAAGGAGAGAGCTTTACATTGTTCAAAATAGTTGCAGGCTATTGTATGATTTGCACAATAAATTTCGGTTTATAACCCTGAGTACAGGTATATTAATGGTTTTTATAGTTATTGCGAGCAGATGTCTTGTGGTTGCATTGAGTGGGGAAAAAATCTGGCTCTGCTGTTTGAGTTGTGAAAAATCTAATTTTCCCTGACTTCATATTTTCTGTTTGTTTTTGTCTTAAATTCAGGTAAAGTACATATAATGACTTATCTCATGAGATAACAAAAAAGAACTGTGATTATTTCTTCTATGCATTAGATTTTTAGACATCTTAAGCAGTTTGTCACTTTATGCCATACTTTAGTAACAGAACTGTCATAAAAGAGGCTATTTTAATAAGCCATAAATCACTGAGCTATACTGATCGCTGGAGTTTGGTTTACGTTCCCATCATGTAAATCCCTTTGTGACACACTGGGATATGATGCGTTCTGCGCTCTAACCTTTTGTTCAATTGACTGTTTTAGCATATCTTAACGCTGTCTGTGTCAAGCGGCCCATCAGCCATGATTTCAAATTGCAAAGATCATTTAGCAGTTTAAAAGGCAATCCGTGTCAGTGGAGGGTTTTAAGTATCAAAGGGACTTTTTTTAAAGAGTATTTTTCTCAAGTGGATTTGTGCTATTTGTAAGGGATTAAAATCATTCACTGTTTCATTATTGAAAATTTGCCTTCTAAATTAGTTATCTCAGTTTTACTAAGGCAGCAAAATAGGGAATTATTGATGTTGAATATTTGTGCAGAAATACTTATCCTTACAGAAGTCAGAAAAACAATTAGAGCTTGCTGGCCCAGTTTAGCCACTTAAGGATCAACCAGCCAACTCAGTGCTAAATCTTGTGGCTCTGTTTTATTGCTTCATTCCTTGGCTTTGTTCTGAGGTGACTCCACTCAAACCAGAGACATGCAGCGTTGTGAACGTAGAGGAGTGCGGTGATGAAACACCTTTAACCAGCCACCGCTGTGAAGTCAGTATCACTGTATTAGTCAATTACATGTTAACAAGTGCTCTGTGGAAGGAGACACTACAGGCAGCAGTGACAGTGACATTTGAATGTGTTGCAATGCTGGCACTTGTTTATCTAACAAAACCACTGGATCTTTAGGGTGGAAATCAGTGGGACTCCAGGGAGCTGCACAGTATGTTCCTCTCTGTTCCCCCTCAACCCGTGGGGCTGGGCTCCTTCCCCAAGGACTCTGCCCCACAGCCCCCCTCCTCGTCTGTGATCTTGAACTCTCTTGAGCCCATTAACCAAGGAGGGAAAGCTGTTCTTGCTAATCACGTAGATAGTGAACCTCTAGTACAAAAAGAAATGTGTACTGTAAAAGAAATACAAAATCATTTTTCATTATTCTTCATGGCATACATTGCCTATGTCAGAAGACCAAACCTTTTTCAATGAGATTCACTGTTACCCTTCTTTAAACATACCTGTCATTTCACGCTCACTTCTGCTAAATTAAACCTAGTTTTCTCATTTTTTAACACCGTAACCATTTCCCCTGAAGTTGTGCAGGTTGACATTTAATTTGCTGTTGGCAGAAAGTCAGGTAGTGTTACTCTGAGGCCCCGATGGGCCTGAAGCAAGATGGAAAAACATTACAGCACAAAGTGAGGGGATGGTGCCGATGGTGTGGGGCGTGAGACGGAGTGAAGGTGAAGGGTATGAAAAGTGGCTTGCCTCTTCTTGTTCTCTTGCTTTTCTGTGTTGTTCTGTGGCAGTGCGGAAGTCTCACTCCAGCTATCCACTCTCCCTTAAGGCAGCCCTGTCATCTGGGCTGGTGGTGACACTGAGGAACACTGAGGAGGAAAGTGGTTAGTGAGCTAAAATGTCATGCCGTGAAATCAGATGAGCAGCAGCACTTGCTTAGGACTGCGTGTGTATGGAGAGAGGAGCAGGACAAATTCCTCAGTGGCTGCACTAGATCTTTTTCACTGCTCCCTGAATAGTATACACACTTTTTCTTCTCTGTGTTAGTGTTATGAAAGTATTTGATATGGCAGAAGTTTCACATGGAACATTCTGGATGGTTTCAAGGGATGGATGCATACATCAGCAGCTGAAGCAGTGCGCATAAGGAGTTGCACAAGCTGTGTAAGGAAGCTCTTAGAAGAGCTGGGATAGAGATGCTGTGGTGTGTCTGGGACAGGGGTGCACAGTGGTGAGCCAGGGTCACCACACACAGCAGTACAAGGTGTCAATGTACAAACTCCTAGGGACTGGCTCTGTGAAAGAAGCTGTGGGTCAGATGAACTCTGTCACATTATAGCCGCTAATTTTCACGTTGCATCTTGATTAACTACGTTGTTGTTTAAACTGCTTTGGAAGACTAAGTGCTCCATTTTCAGTTATTTCAGCAGTGCTGCTCTAAAAGCAAAATACCCATTTCCCTTTCACTGATGTAACACGACCTTCGCTGCTGTCGTAATTCTCTGATTCAGATTTTTTCTCCCTCCTTCCTTTTGCTTTTTACACAAGATGTTTTCAAATACTTACTGTCTTTTCTGAGCAGCAGTTCCTCCTTTTCTTGCAAGCTTACGTGTTGGGCATACGCTCAGATAGCAAGCAATTCCTTTTGCACTAGCCGAAAGCCAAGTCTGACCTGTAAGCAGCACCACACTGTTGGCATTTTCATCTTTGACAACACACTGCTCTGTCTTAAAAAGGATAACGAGACCTTGCAAGATGGCTGAGAGGACTGCTGCACTGTTACTGCTAATGAAATTGTAATGTGATTGAATTATGCCAAAATCCCAGTGTGTTATGTAGGCTAGTTCAAAATAAGGAGATTAACTGAACTAGAACTGAACTAGAACTGTCTTGCACAGATCCCCTGTCAAATTCTTTGCATTCTGAGTCCTGCACCGCTGCATGTATCACTCGGGTTTGTCAGAGGCATGTAGCAGGTGGTATTTTCAGTAGAAATGTATATGCTCTGTGCTATTTTGTATAACCGCATAGTCCGGGTCTTTCCCAGCTTCGTGAGAAAAGCGCAAAGATTAGTCAGTTGTGTCCATACCACAGAGCTCCAGCTGTTACTGAGGCTTTGGCTGTGTAGAATTGATTGGCAGCATACTTTGAATAAGCTTCCCCTCCCTCCCCCAAAATAGGGCTTGTGACCCTTCCGATACAAGGAGCTCTGCCATCCCTATGGCAGGAGCCTTGGCTGGAGCTGCCCAAGGGATGCGTGTGGCCACGAGGCCCTGGGGCTTTTAACCAGCCACGGCTGGCTGCCGGGCTGCGGGATCAAACTCCTCCAGGAGCCCTGAGAATCCCAGCTCAGTATGTCCTAAAACACGGTATTTACCAGGCAGGTTCCAACAGACTGGGATACCTTTCTCAGCCGCACTGGGGCAGTGCAGATTTTGTTTTGGCAAATCGTGTCACTGGACTTGCTGCACATCGCTTGTTCTGAAATGAATCCCAAATGATCTGACAGTTAAGTACATCTAAAAAGTTAAAGCCTATTTTCCTCTATAAACTCTTCTATTCATGCTTGTATTTCAAAAAATGTAGTGCTAAAAGTATATTTAAATGTTTCATTGATTACTCAGGAGTTTTAAATGGAAGACATCTGTTGGAATAACTAAAGCCAGTGCATTTGTGAAGTATGAAGTAAGGGATGTGAAAATATTTCATATTGTAGCAAAATCTCAAAGCTCTTAACTTCATGCCATAGGCAGTACATGAATAGTATGAATGACAGTGCAGAGATGTCATGAAGAGAATTGTGTGCTTTCACAAGCATGAAAGCTTTCCTCGCTCAAGTATCTAAAATGATAAAAAGGACAGATTTCATCCACTGTGTTTTTCCTTACTGCAAAGTAACTTGAGCAAAATCTTCAAGTTATTTTGGGGCTTGTTTCACTAATGGGAGGAGAATGACAAGTGTTACAGTGACTGCTTACAAATAAGCAGACTCATATTGTTTATTTAGGCCAGTATTAGTAATTACTGATCTTTTTAGTTGAAATATGTTGTAAATAGATTGCGAGGAAGGGTGGAAGTTGGTTGATCAGGGGGAAGTTCCCCGAGTCCAAGCATGTGAACTCACGTGTGATTTCCTTCTTCCCTTCTTCCAGTTTGAACAGGAGAACCAGAGACTTGTTGGTGAAATGAATAATCTCTTTGATGAAGTCAGGTACAGTTTTCTGTTACTTGTCAGATTGGAGTGCCCAAGAAACAAACTGTAGGAGTTCATACATTGTGCTGTCCCACAGTGTAAGGAATGGCTCCGGGTGACACACAAACTGTCCAAAATACTACTGGCTACATATGGCTATTTTATGTTCTATCTCACCTACTGAAGTTTTAGAAGATTAAGCTTTTCATTCGTATTGTGCTGTCCGCTGCATGTACAGAGAGCAGCAGGGGAGGTGCAATCACTGACCCCAGAGCAGAGGTGCCATTTGCTCTCCGCTTGCTGCGCAGAAATCCTGAGTGCTCAACTCAAGCTAGAGCTTTACTTTTAGGTTATTGGTACCAGGCAAGGTGAATTCCACACTTCATAGCAGCATACCAGAAGGGTATGTCAACATCAACTACTTGGGCCCACCCGGATTCCGTGGTTAGCTGAAGGGAAGAAGCTGGGTGAAGCCCTGGCAGTGACGGCTGCCAGCTGAGATCTGCCAGGGGTGCCTGTCCCAGCGCATCACTGGGGGCTGGTTGTCTTCCAGCCACGTCTCGGCTGGGAGAGTCTGAATCTGCAAGAGCAAGTTTTTGCACTAGTTTCTAATGGAGTATTTCTGTTCTCTGCCAAGGCAAATTGAAGGAAAAGTGGTGGAAATCTCCAGATTACAAGAGATATTCACTGAAAAAGTCTTACAACAGGTTAGTATAACTTAATACTGCTGCAAATACAGCTTGAAGATTTTCTTGGGGGTATTTTGGTCTTGGTTGCGAGACATAAACACAGGATTAATGAATCTTTGACACAAATGTGAAGAAAAAGATTTTTGTTTGTCAAATGCAAAATCAAGATATTTACGGTTGTTACTTATCAGTATGTACTGGGAATGGAAAATGAATCATTTAGTGATTCCTCTGCCTCAGAATGAGCTTCCTGTTAAATGTGTTATTTAATAGCATCTTTTCTGGAAATGGTAGCACCTCTTCCGAAAGAGCTGGCGTAACTTAAGTTAGATTTGATCCTCCATAAATAGGAGACTTCCTCTTCATCTTGGGGTCTCCATTCAGGCTCATAAAATCACAGGTAACAAAATGACAACTTAATCTCCTCTATACCTCTGCGTCATTGAAACTAAGATGTCAACAATACCAGATTTGATTTTTGAGTTCCCCAAGTCCTTGGAGGTGGTTTTCCCTAACGTTCATCACTCTCTCAATTTTATTTTTTTTTAATAGGAAACTGATATTGACAATATCCATCAATTAGTTGTGGGTGCAACAGAGAACATCAAAGAAGGCAATGAAGACATAAGAGAGGTAACGTCTATAAGCTATGTTTTGAACTCGTTTCCCTTAACTCTGTTTTGCGCAGGCTTTGCTTTAAGCAGCACACAAGAGCTCACACCCACCGTGCAGCTGCAGCATGCACTGGGGGGGCAGGATGCGATTTTGGAGTTAGCCGAAGTTCTCAATAGTTCGCATGGCTTGTCTTGCCAAGGTGATTTGAATGGCTGTACAGGTCTGCAGAAATTTACTTGGTCTCACCGATTTTTTTAAACATGAAGGTCACCTGGGATGCATTTAAGCACCTGTGAAGTTTGTTTTTTTTAAAAAAAAGGGGGGGTGTGGGGGGAGAAATTGCAGACTACAAATAAAAGACAGTGCTGAAATTGTTTAAACTGGAGTTAAATGCTGCATGTTAGCAGCAGAGTTTCTTTACCATGCTGAATGCATCTCACACGCTCCTAATAAACAAATCTATCCCATTGTCTTACTGATAAGAATGAAACGATGTTTTCTTTCAGGAACTGACATTTCAATAAAAATGGAGTTCCTAAATTAGGCTACTGAGTAAATGGCTCAGTTCTTGAATTTTTTTCCCTCCTGAAAGCACACAGAATATGTAACTCAAGGGTTGGCTCCCCTGAAAACTGCATCAAACACGGCATGAACTGAAGTTATTTTTGCTTCATTTTTCACATTTGTAGGTAGAACTAAATTTCCTAAACCACACTGAGAAACAGTAGAGAAAGGTGATGAATACAGAACTTCATCACTCACATTGTTTGCATCACATAAAAAAAATAATCTATTCCATGTGTAAATCTGAAAAATGAGAGAGAAAAACATGTCCCCTGCTATATGGCATCTCAATTTGGGGAAGGAGAATCCACGAACAGTATTTGCTGTACTTGTTCTGAGACTGAAAGATGTGGCTGACAGTGCTAACTCAACCTCCAGAAACAGCTGTCAGGTTTGGGGGCTTTTTTTAGTCAGAAGATGTCTACTAGAATGATGAAGTCCTGATTATTTCTAATCACAGAATTTCACATTTGGAACTAACCTTTAAGCATGTATGTTTTGATGTAGTTCTTAGTGTTTTGAGTGTTATTTCCATTGTGTGGGATCTTGTGATTTTTTTTTTTTTGTGGTTTGTTGATTTGTTGTTTTTGTTTTTTTTTAAAATGACCAATTCTAAGATGTTGAGAGAAACTTTAGTGTGATAAATCTGAGAGGTACAGCCAACCTGGCTTTTATTCACCTGAAATTAATGGCAAGTTTTGTTCTTCCTCTTGTGGGAGGGATGAGTGAAGCCACTAACAGTCACTGCCATTGTTGGAATTCTACTGTATGTTTACTGGTGATGGTAATGGAGATAACCTTTCCCTCACAGGCCATCAAAAACAATGCTGGATTTAGAGTATGGATCCTGTTCTTCCTTGTGATGTGTTCATTTTCCTTGCTTTTCCTGGACTGGTATGATAATTAAAAATATAATATTGCCTACATGCTTTGGTTCTGGAACTTTTGACATTTTTTCACTGGAGCAGGGTATATGGCATACCTGTGTACATTATGCATTTTTCATACTGCTACAATGGAAATACTTCCCAATAAATAAGCACATGTATATATCCATTAGTGCCAAGGGAGCTGACAGCATTCATTTTAACTCCCTTTATCGAACATAAAACCACACTTAATCCTGCAGAGAACATAGAAACCTTTGAAAGAGCCAGTAAGAAAGCTGCAAGCTGGAGCAGAGCTAACAGAAGAAAAAAAACAATAATGGTTTTATCAGTCACCCCCACACCTGTGATGTTTCCGGTCCAGCTCCCAGTGTGCAGACCAGATCAAGAGAAAACTCTTACTGTGCAAAAGCAGCTACACTGTCTCAGGCTTTTATTTAATCATACCACTTCAGTACATAGTGAGCATTTTGCACATGTATGACCTCTACTTCTAATCCTTTGAAACTACTCGAGTCAGAGATCAGGTTGATTTAGTAGTAGTAATAATAATAAGTCGTCAACTAAAGAGGCTTACTTCTAGGTGAAAAGAGAGAATACAACACAAACAAATTGTGCAGTGAAACATCTTCCGGGATGTTGGAACAAAGCCAAAGGCTAGACAATATTAAAGCCAAAATCTTCAAAGTACTAAAAGTGGGAGCAATTTGTTAACTAAAAAAAACAACAAACCCCAGTCTCCAAACCAACTGTGGCTAAGAATCAATAAACTCCCTCCTGTGAAATCAGAGGAAAAAATGGTTTTGACTTCAAGAAGCATAAGCAACTGTTTCTCCTAGATCATAAAGCTTAGTATTTTTTTTAATGTTTACTGTCAGGAGAGAGAGAAATAAGTTGTTTCTCATCAGTATTTACTTGTGCATTGAAGTTTTTATTGTCCTAAATTTATGGAAGGACATGTATCACGAATCATTTTTATCTAGGACAGTCTCGGGGAACAGATCTTTCCATCTTGTAAAATCTGAATCTCCTCTGTAAATATGTTGATATGAAATGTGTGTTTTGCTCTGTCTCTTCTGAAATGTATATTTCTATACATTACATGCAACAAGCAGCAACGTCCTTACTCTTTACTCTGCAGAGTGAAAATGTCAAAAGTTACTTGTGAGTTAATTACATTCAATAAAGCATATGCCTAGTGGAAAATGCAAACGTGGTATGTTTTGAGTATCTTAACATAAGCTTGAAATTTTTAAATGCAAAGAAAAAATTGGCATGTAATTTATTGCTTTTTATGCATTCCACATACCACACTGACTTAATAAAAAGCCTTTTACAGACATTACTGTGTAATGCACATTTTGTATCAAACCTAGAGAATTAAGTAATAATGGTTATTTTTACTGTATTGTTGACAAAGCAGTTTTCTACTGGAGGAAAAAATAAAAGTAGAGCTGACTGTGTTTGTACTACTACAGATCTTGAAACAGCCCCTACTGCTGTTTTCCCTTTGTTTTTATACAGTGTCTACCAACTTTTGACATGTCCACTACACCTTGTCCCATTCAAGTTACATGAACAAAAAAGGTGACCTGCTTGCCCAGATGCTTCACACACTTATTTTGTCTGTTAAATTAACCAGATGTCTTTTTTGTAATGTATATTTAAGATTTATAATAAAAATAAAACATGGTTTCACACAAAGACCAGATAAGTTTGTAATTACAATGGAACCTTAACGTGCATCCACAACACTATGATGTTCTTCTAAGTCTTCTCCCCTCCCAAGCCATACATGAACAGCCCTACTCCTCACTCAGTTTCACATGTAGCTTGCAAACAGCCAGTTGTGTTATCTAATGTGTTACTGGTTCACTTGTGATGCTCAGTGTTTAAAGTATAAAACTGCAAACCATACATAAACTGAAAGCTCTTAGCCTCTAAGTAATAAAAAGGGGAAATGTTAATGTAATAAAAGAGAAAATTTAGACATGTTACTCCCTCAGTTGTATCCAACAAATTACATAGTGGACTATATCTAGTGTGAACAGGCTTTCAGCCTCATAAGTATGATCAAAAGATGTCATTTCTCATTAGAACATCCCAAACTGTGTATTTTTTACACTATCCTCAACATCCACCACTAAAACTGTCTGTGTTTTTCCTTAATGTCTATCTAGTTTGTGTTTCAGTGCACATCCTTACCAAGATGCTAAAGCCACAGTGGAAATGCAGTTAAATCCTGTTGACAGCAATAATAAAACATTGAGCATGCCTTGTTGCAGAGAACTTCATTATCACTTACAAATAAACAACAGTAAAGAAAAAGTAAGAAAAATGCTACCTGACAGTTTCTTTCTCCATACAAGTCATTACATTATGCCCCTGACATCAATGCTGACTATCATTCTTGCTTGCGCCAAAACTAAATATTAGATATAGCTTTCAGCTAAACAAGAGATCACTCTAGTTATGGCTGGGGTGTTTCAGTTTGCAAAATGACAAAGGATAAAAAAAAAATTAATAAATAAAGTATTGGTTCAGACAATAGAACACATGATTTATCTAAGGTCCAAGCCCTGAAAATCCAGTGAAGAAATCTGTCAGTATGCAATAAACTGCAAGAACATATCTAATGTTGGAATTATTTTTAACATTGAAAATGGTGTCAAAGCTCTAAAGCAATGCTGATATGCACCTTGTTTTATGCCCATGAATGTTCTGCAGCAAGTTTTTGTTTGGTTTTGGTTGGTTTTTTTTTTTTTTGCAAAGCAGTATCAGCAAACAGAAGCAATTGCACCATAAACATGAGTAACCTCTAAATTATCCATAATTATATTTAATGAAAAGTTCCTTAAAGTCCCTTAGTTACCTTCAAATGACATAGTGTTAATAATTAGCTTATCATACTAAGCTGATTTCTCAGCAGCTTCAGTCTCCTGTTCAGACAGTTTCTCTTCTGACAGTACCGTCATCCATGGGGACACTGAGCGCGTGATGGTTTGTTTGGCCAGATTGTAGTGGTTTATGACTGTGTAAAATTTCCCTCGAGCACTGGAGTCTTGTTCAGAGTAGTAGTTTTCCAACCCAGCTGGAATGCATTGATTATTCTGAGAAGAAAAAAAAACAAAAAAAACCCATCACTTACTTACTTACTTAGATGACAGATACAGCCCCACACACCCCAAAAGTAGGTTAGGGTTTTTTTCTTTTCCTTGTAGTTTAAGCCAACATTCACTTTCTGCAAGTCAAGATGCAACAATTAACGACAGCATTGTCCTACTGTGTTCAAAATGTTCTTCGCTGCAACCCTTGAACTACTACTGCATTGGCCAGGAAGACCAATCTGGGTCTATATGCAAGAATAATTAATGTACAAGAAACACACTTGCCTAAAATTCAGTTTAAAAGTACTCAATCTCTCGTTCCAGCCATATTTTGCTTCTTTTTCCTCCCCACCTTGTTCCAGCTATTTGATCTACCATTACAGATGTCTGCATTCTGCCTTTAGATCAGCTTCAGGCATTTTAACATGGTGTTTTCAGTCTGAGGGACAGAAATTACTACAGATGTACTGCTGCCAAGGTATGAATAGTTTTATAGCCCAGTAAATAAGACACACAGGGAAAACACTGTGGGTGTCCAAGCTTGTGTGCAAGCGTGCACACACATACAAAATACTTTGCTCTTGATTGTCAGAAAGATGTAGCTGCCAGCAGGCTTTTAAAAAGCTATCGCTAGCCAAGGGACTACATTATTTAATTTCCCGGAAGTGTAAGAGCACTGCAGAGAAAATTCTAGATGCTCAGAGCTTTTGAAAGTGAAATACTGGATTTAGAGAGTGAAATATGAAGTATGATCCAAACTTTGCTGTCATCTTAAAAACCAAAATGAACATGCACATGGAGTGCATCAGTCAGCAGGTATCATCCAGCAACCGGTCACTGTCGGTGCAGTAAAAGCCTACAAAGCAGCGAGATGCACTGAAGGAAAACCTGATTTAAACGTATCCTGTGACACCCCGCCCCAGGTTTTGCTCCAGGTCACAGGTCTGTCCGCAGGTCTTCTGCTGTATCTGCCAGGCCAGGCAGCCTTGCCTGATACTTTAGAGTGTTAGGGCAGTCATCTGGGCAACTGAACTGACCCTCTAAAATATGCGTAGCTGCAGCTTGAGGAAAATTAAGTTTAATAATTTCTACTCTGTTTTAAAAAAGCAAGAGGCTGTTCCGTCTTCCTGCTTCCAGCACCGGAAGACTAAAATTTACAGTGCTACAGCTCAGCAACTTTGAACTGCTACTTATCTCACAGAACTTGGCAAACAAAACTTAATAGTGGAAATTTCTGAGCACAAAAACAAGCAAAAATGTCATGGGTTTCAGGACCAGCTCCTATTTCTAATGTGTCCACATTTACTTTTGAGTTGACCCTTGTAAAAAAAACAACCACCAAGTGGCATAAATAAGCACCAGTAGCAGGAGTTTAAAAGGGTTTAAATCATAAAGCACAGAAAGATTGAGGGGAAGATCGAGCAGACAGTCTTGGCTTAGTAGAAATTTTGCATCCTAAAAATGTTAGAGTGAAAAAAGCGTCAAAAGGTATGAAAGAGAAGAGCAAGACTTGCCAAAACAAGGGCCTACAGGTAGTCAGTTTTATGAACCTGCCTGCCTCTGATGAATGCAGCCTCCTGGCAGGTTTGACTGCTGAGAGAAGACTCACCTTCAAAGGACTGACAGCCCTTCCACAGAGTTAACACCTCATCCATTCTAACCTGCATGTGCGACGAGAGCCTCGATGTGTCTCAGACATACAATGGTGCTCAAAGTTACCACATCCACCCAGTTTATTTGTTATCATTTGTTAAGGTAGCACTACAAAGCAGAGGGGATTTAACCCCAGCTAAGCAGGCACTTGTGCCTGTTCAGCACCGTTGGAGGCAATGGAGGTTTCCCCATGGTCATAATTGTTGTATATGCCAGCTGCAAGACCGGGACCTAGATTTAAAAAAAAAACAAAAAAAAAAAAACTACTCCCTAACAGCTCTGTAAT